GTTGGGTCCACTAAGTGTGAGAAATGAATTAAATATTGTAATAGCTTTCCTAAAAAAGGAAATGGAGCAAGTATATAAAAACGGATGGAAAAGGAAAGTGGAGCAAGTATTTAAAAACGGAGGAAGTATATGTTCAAACAAATATTTTTCGGCTATGTAATTAAATTACTAAAATGTTTAGGCCACCATTACCAATAATCCACTATCATAAATACCTGATTAATAAAACAAGAAAGAAAACTCAACTACATACAAAAAAGGAATAACAAGCCACAAATCAAGCTGATTCACCACTACAAGCTATTCATGACACTAATTTTTTTAATTTTGGGAAATTCTCTTTGGTAACACTGTAGTTTTAAGTTTTCTAAGTGGTAAATTGCAAAAAAAAAACTTATTATCATTGGTAAACTTGAATTTTTGATACCAAAGAGAATAACTATTTTTAACCAATTTCCCTTAACCATGGTTAGTTTAATTAATTTTCTAACAATTAATTAAATTTAGAAATATATTTAAAAAAAACAATCTCCCCTCCCACCACCAGTCAGCTACTGCCACAACCAGCAACCACCGTCGACATCCCAACCCCCCTCTCCCCTGGCCGGCGCACATCCCCTCTTAGCCGGCGACCCTATCCCCCTCCCTTTCCTCAACCACCACCAACCCAAAACCTCACACCACCGCTCACGATCCTCCTCCCACCGCAACTACGTTACAACCATCCTTTCTTTCTATCTCCTCCTTTCACGCAACCTCCCTTTCCTACGCTAGACCGAACCTAAACCCACGACCCAAACCACCGGCGAAAATTAGCAGCGCAAATAAGGATGAAATCAATCAATTTCAACGGCGAAAATCAGCGGTGGTGATTCAGCTTGAAGGCCATGGTTCTAAAAATCGATCGGTTTTGAAGGTGGGGGATTTCGAAGCCAATTAGGGATTTTGATGGTGGGGTATTGAGCGGCTAAGGAGTTTCAGATTTTCGGGGGTGGATTCTGGTATTTTCGTGGGGAAGGGAGGTGGGTTTTGGGGAAGGGGGAAAGGTGCGGCGTGGTGGATGCTGGTCGGGGAAGGAGGGCTGGATTTTCGTGGGGAAGGGAGGTGATTTTCGGGGCTTGAGATGCCGATACTGCGCCGGCGAGGAAGGTGGCTAGGCGGCGTCGACGTGGCTTGGGGAAGGGGAGTGGGCGCCGGCGCCGGTGCCGGCGTGGTGGATGCTGGTCGGGGAAGGAGGTGATTTTTTTGTGATTTTTTTTTTAAAAAATAAATTTGTTTTAAAATTATTGTTTAAATCATTTAAATGTTAATAAAAAAAAAACCTAACTATAGTTAAATATTTAGTTAAAATTAGTCATTAATGTTACCGTTAGCTGAATATAAGAAATTCGAGTTTACCAAAGATAATATTTTTTTTGCAATTCACCACTGAGAAAACTTAAAACTATAGTATTACCAAAGAGAATTTCCCTTTTTTTAATATAAACGATATTGAATAGTGTAAGATCACCTAACTATTCATCCTACACATAGGTCCAAGTGAGACCGCTTTTAATTTTATTAAGGTGCTTTTAAAATTCTAGCTATATAGATTTTTTTTTTAATTAAAACCTATAGTTTGAAAAGTACACCTATATAGATTTTAAAGTTTTATACTAAGTAACTGTGGATATATTTTGTATATATTTTGTAATTATCTTTTTAGATTTCCTAACGAGATTATGACTCATACTTGTAACCCTATATATTGAGATCAATGGAATCGATTCCAATTTGAAAAGTTTCACAGTATCTAACATGGTATCACGACCAAGGTTACAATCCTAGCTTCCGCAATATTGGAATTATGAAACGAAAAGCGAGTATGTTTTCCTAATTGACAACCTATGCAAAGAGTGGAGTCAAGCTCCTTATTACAATCAATCAAATTTCTATTCCTAATAAAATTAAAAGAAGGTGCCCCGGGATGTCCTAAGCGGTTGTGCCATGTGGATGGAGACAAGGCTATGAGAGAGGTGGCTAATCAAGCTGACGGTGTTGTGGTCACTGGATAAAGGTCTCCGATACTATTGCATCTGGTTATTAGATTCCCCGTTCGTAGATCCTTCACAAAAAAATCACTGGGATCAAACTCTATAGACACAGAATTATCATAAGTAAATTTTCTAACAGAAATTAAATTTTGGATAATTTGGGGAGCTAAACAAACATCACGTAAAGTACGAGATTTATTTGCAATAGTAGAGTAACCATAACCCATTATTGGAATGATTTGACCGTTACCCACCTTAATATAATTAGATGTGCATAAATTAAATAGGGGTAAGAGATTATTGGCATTGTTTGTCATATGAGAAGTGGCTCCGGAGTCCATGTACCAAGATGGATCGTAGTTTTGGAACCCCATCGTTGCAAACGCATTGTCGATCTCTGTCAGTGCCATGGTTGAATCATACTCCGAGCTTGAATTGGAAAAACCGGGTTGAGCTTGTTGAGGTGGCCCAAAATAATAGGCCTGTGGAGGTCGTTGTTGTTGGAATGGGTTAGCTAGACATGGCCTAGCCCACTGTTGAGGGAACGGATAGGGAGCCTGACCCCATTGTGGGGCTGCATTCTGGGCCTGATAAAATAGGTCGTTTCAGGTTTGAGGGGCGCCTCATTGTGGAGCAGTTTGTTGTTGTTGATGTTGTTGCTGCTGATGTGGTGTGCCTCAACCACGACCCTTGCCACGACCTCGACCGCGACCACGACCTTGACCATTATAACTGCCACCTTGTCCGGTCGGCGTCGCCTGCTGCTGTTGAGGGGTGGTAGAATCGGCTATGTTGCCGGATTGGGCCACAAAGGACGATGCTTGTGACGAAGAGTCATTAGCACGCCTTGATTCCTCGAGGAGTAAACGCGACCTTGCTATCTCGAATGAAGACAATGGCGTCGTTTGTTGTATCATTGCACCAACTGTATCAAAGTCTGTATTCACTAGTTCTGATACTAAGCGAATAACAAGAATTTATTCCGACACAGGTTGATCAACATTACCAAGTTGATCCTTCAAGTTCAATCTTCAATTCTCGACAATAAGCAGAGATGTCAGAGAATTTGGACAGGTGCAATTAATTAAACTGATTTTCAAGATATACCGCCCTCGTAATTTTATTATCTTGAAATATCTCCTTTAAGTTTATCCCAAAGCTGTTGCGCTGTATCCCCCGGTTTCGAGTAAATTAAATCCTTAGAGATTGTGCCATAGATCCAGTTTTTAACAACCGAATCAAGCCTCTTCCACATATCATCAGATAAATCTGTTGGCTTTGTGGTTTTGGGGTCAATATTATCGAGGACATTGTAAGCATGAGCATGACACTCAAACTATTCAACCCAATTTGAGTATTGGACTTTCTTTGATCAAGAGTTAAAGGAATTATATTTTTTGATATTATTGACACCAAAAGCTGGATGAAAGTCAGAGGACGAAGAAGACTCACCATCTTTAGTCATGGTGGCCAACTAGATAATACTAAGGAAGAAGATGAGTAGATGACGACTATGGTTTGGGAAAAGAACGTAAAAAAAATTAAAAAGGAAGAAAAATTACGGAAGCTAGGATTGTAACTTTGGTTGTGATATCATGTTAGATACTGTGAAACTCCTCAGATTGAAGTCGATTCTATATATTGATCTCAGTATATAGGGTTACAAGTATGAGTCCTAATCTCTGTTAGAAAATATCAAAAGATAATTACAAAATATATTCAACAATAACAGAATATCTAGAATATTAATCTTATATTCTATCAGTAACTTTATTCTATACCAATTCATAGTTGAATAATCTCACTCTTACTCCATCTTATGTATTTTGACGTTTGCACCATGTTTAAGGGTGATAGATTGGATGACCCTATTTTCAGAAACAATGATATTGTGCTTTTGGCTAAATTGTTAATTGGTGGTAATTTTAGATAAATAAAAATAGTTATAGTACGTTGGATGGTATGTAAAATTTTTATAACTATTGGTGAGAACAATATTATTAACTTGTTTAGTTTCTTCAAACTAACATACTCCGTACTTTGTATTCTGGTTGTATAAAATTCCTTAAACTAAAATCGGTCATAATAATTTTAACTTTTTTTTTCAGTTGTGTTACTGTTTTAATAGCCTCCGAAGGCTAGTTTTTTCATTTAAAAAAAAACTAAGTACCTGTTCATTTAAGTTTTTTTTTTGTTTTTGATTAAATTTAATTAATATTTAACTACTTGTGGTTAATGATGAGTTAGTAGCTAGTTAATTGGCCGGAATTTGGGTTAGAGTACCCAAAAAGTGAAAAAAAAAACAAAAAATGAGTACCCAAGGGGTGAAAATGTAAGAATTGAGGGCTTACTTGTGTGGTTAACTCTATAAGATGTTATTGGCGGTAAGGTCAAAGTAAAATGTAGAGATGTTATTTATTTATATATTTATTTTAACAATGAGATGTTATTATGAGTTTATGACTAACCATGATGATAATCGCTAATTCCATTATACCAGTAAAATATGTACTCAAATTTCAATTAGTATAACAAGTTAAGATTTACAAGTAACAATTCAATAAAAATATCTTCTAATTAAATATCGTGAAATGGGGTACTAAACCCTTTTAATAACCAAGAAATTGCATTTATTTTTTTGTTTCTTGATCTTGATAACCGACTTAACTAACTGAAGTAACAAACCAGCTAATGCAACCATATATAGTAATATAACCATTCATTTCAAGAATAATTCTCTGATTATTCTACAAAATCATCCCTTTATTATAATTAAATAATTCCTTCATTGTTAAATTCATACTCATCCCATCATTATTAAATAGCTGCAACCACACATTCTCCATTAATTCCAAGATTTCTCTGTTTTTCCTACAAGATCATCCATTCATTAATAAATCATTACAAAACAACCTTCCTAAGTAATATCTTCAATCCCAAATCTTCTATTTGCTCAATTAATCAGTAATGTCTACTTGGAGCGCTTCGAGTTCAACGAGTTCGATAGATACATCAGACACAGACGATTACAGGGTTATGGTGGAGCAGAGTCCGAGAAGGCGATACGTAAGGTACGATACTACCATAGCCAAAGGTGCAACAGAAACAGTTTATAAGGGGTTCGATAAGATTTCTGGTAAGGAAATCGCTTGGTGTAAGATGACGGAGTTGGCAGACGACGAATTGATTCAAAAATTACATACATGTAGTCTGCTAAAGCAGTCATTAGACCATCAGAATGTAATTAAATGCTACAGATTTTTTCGAGATCGTTCCAAACCTAAAATCCTTAACAACATTACTGAGTCTTTTACTTCCGATTTGAAGGACTACATCAACAAACACACTCTTGTGCATATCAATACCGCGATCAAGATTTGGTGTCGACAGATTTTAAATGCGTTGCATTATCTTCACAATCGTACTATTCCGTTAATTCATCATGATGTCAAGATTGATAACATCTTTGTTATTGGAGAGTTAGGCATGGTTAAGCTTGGATATTTTGGTCACGCATTTCCATTTGCACGTGTGAGAAGGACTACTAGCTTTGCTGGTATGTCAGAAACTACGGCGCCTGATGTTTTCGAGCAAGATTATAATGAGAAGATTGATATATACTCGCTTGGGATGACTGTATTACAGATGGTGACTCAGGAAAAGCTGTTCAGCGAATGCAACGGCAACACGGAAATGGTTTGTGAAATGATTAAGAATGGTGAACTGCCTGCTGCGCTGAACAATGTCAGAGACTTACATATTAGAAGATTCATTGATAAGTGTATAAGTCCTGTTTCTGAGAGACCTACGGCAATTGATCTTCTGAAGGACGGATTTCTTGCAGACGATGATGTTCCTGAAAGATTGACAGCAGGTGGTAGTGATAGTATTCAGAGTCTGAGAGAGTCTGTGCGTGCTCAGGTGGTAAGATTATTACAGCAGCGTCCGCCTGTTGAATCACAAGATACGGAACAGGAGAAGGCAGATTTTGACAATGAGGGTGAGGCATTTGGGTCACAAGGGGGAACGTCTGAGACTGATTCTGAAACATCCAGATCGCGTACTGCTTCTCCATCTAGACCTTCTACGGAGCCAGAGACAGGAGATCCTGAAACGTCGACTGGTGCATCTAAGGAACAAGAGGAAGAGGATGAGACACCTCTGTTACGAAGGAAAACAACACGCAATGTTGAGCGTGGGGGTGAGACATTTGGGTCAGAAGGGAGAACGTCCGAGACTGATTCGCCATCTAGGACACACGAGACATCGTCTGATGAGCAAGATCAGGCAAGCTACATGGATTGATACCGAATTGGTTTGGGAAGCTATCATGCTTTTGCTGCAACAGATGAAGAAATTTAAGATCAATATGATTTTGTAGTATTAAAGTACACTTTTCACAATATTTTGCTTCATTTTAGATACTTATAAGTCTGAATTAGAATAATTGCTCGAATTTAGGCATTGTACTTGTTATTTGTTGTACTTGCTGGGGGTCCTAATTAGTGTCGGGACTTGGCAGGGGAGGTGAAGATACTCTTTCAGTTTTTCGTTAATTTGTTTGATTGGTTGTCATTTGTAAATGTTTGTTTTGGATTTAAAAACATTAATGAGATAGCTATTATCTTTTGTACATGTAACAAAGGCTTCATTTTTATATAAATACAATTATGTAAGCAATTGCTATGAATAGTAGTCAATTAAATGTTGAGCTTGTGTTAAAATGGAGTAGTGCTTTAGCAGTAGCAATTGAGTAAGGGTAAAAAGGTGAATTGGACCTAAACATTTCTGAAGTTCATAAAATTGGACCTCTTCAGGATTTCAGCTAGTACTTGTCTTGTTATCATCCCTTGATGATTTTGTGGATTTGGGCTACCCGAGCTATTAAAAGTTGGAGGCATTTGATTTCGATACTTCAGACTTTTCAGTTCATCAATATTATGCACACTAAACCAGTGGAAAAAACATAAACTTAATTAATTAATTCAACATTGCGAACAAGCCCAATCAATAATCTACCTTTACGTATGTCATACGGTCTTAATGAAAGACATGATCATAGCTGGTCAGCTGGTACAATTATCGCCGTTAGGAAAAGAGTTTGTTGTTTATGAGGAAACCTCTATAACCTCTGCCAAACAAAAAGTCACTTTTATGAATAAATCATGAACAAACATGTAAGGGTGTGTAGCTAATGTTAACTTGAAGATATGCATATTGCATCTACAAGCTTTAATTTGCATAGTAACTATGAGGTGCTTCCATCAGGAGGCTTGCAACTACAAGTTTATTGACAAAATTGTGCTCGTTAGTTAGAGCAAATTATACTCAACTGATTGACAAAATTGTGCTCATTAGTTAGAGCCAACTTTTGATGAATTGGCCTGTGCATTCAGAATTCGGAATGTTTTCTTTTGTTTAGCCTTTAAGAGTGAAACAAGCCACTCAAAAGCTTGTGTCTACTATTGCAGGTAGTGCTCCTGCAGGATCAAGCAACATCAGCATTAGTGCTTAGGCAGCATACTACTTATCCGACTTATCCGAGTCAGCAGAGGATAAGAAGCTGGAAGCTCAAGAGAAATTTCTGGAAACAAGTCATAACTACCTACTGGTCTAAAGTGGCAAGAGTTTGTTACAACTTTGATGATGTGGCTAGAGTTTGTTTGAAGGAATCTTTGTAATGACAGAATATAAATGTATTTTCTCTTAGATTTAATCATAATCTGTAATCACATGTTTAGTGTGACAAACACATTTACTCTCTTTATTTTCTTCTCCAATTTTCCTTTCACATATTCTCTGTATTTTCTTCATGTAATTAAAACGTTTGATGAAATATTTGAAGTTTTCTTTGGTTGATTACTGTTTCATTGAAGCATTTTCTTCGGTTAAATCATGGTATCATGGTTTTTTATCGATTTGTTGAAGTTCTTTTGTTGAAGAATCGATTACATTTTCTGGTAATTTTCTCTCGATTGTTGACGAAATTCTTCTTGTTCTTCTACTATTGCTTTATTCTTGCTGCAATTAGATCAATTTTGAGGCATTTTCTTTTGATTTTTTAAAACAGTGGCTGGTAATTCTAGTAGTTTAAGTAGCTCCAACTAATGATCCTAGAAAGTGTATATTTTATACATCCTTCTGAAAATCGTGCTAATTCATTGGTAACTGAGAAATTTAATGGTGAGAGTTACAATGAATGGAAGAGAAGCATGATGATAGCATTATCTGCTAAGAATAAACTATGTTTCATTGATGGAAGTTTACTTAGACCTAACTCTGGTATTGAGGTTCAAGCATGGGATAGATGTAATGCTATGATCACTAGCTATATTCTGCATTATGTGGATAATAATATAGCTTGAAGTGTTCAGTATTTCACTTTAGCCATAGAAACCTGGAACGATTTGGAAGACAGGTATTCTCAAAGTTTTGGTCCTTAGCTTTATACATTGCAATAATCTTTGAGTGATATAACTCAAGGTTCTTTTTCAGTGGCTGGATTTTTCACTAAAATTAAGGCAATCTGGGATGAAATCAATGGAATAAATCCAATTCTAGCTTATACTTGTTATGGATGTACATGTCAGATCTCTTAGAAGATTCTTAATCAACAGCATGAAGAAAGGCTAATTCAGCTATTAATAAAGATAAATGGCAAGTATGCTACAGTTTGAACCAATATTTTGATGATGCAACCTCTGCCAAATGTGTCCTTAGCCTACAGATTGTTAATGCAAGAAGAGAAGCAAAGACAGGCAAGCATGATGGATGCTAGAAATAGCAACACCATGGCTTTTGCAGCATTTGATGATAGAAAACCACCTCATTTTCAGCCATCATCTAATTGTTTCCAATCTAACCAGCCTTATATGAGGAACAACTATGCACCAAGACTGTGAAGAAACTCAAATTTGTTCTGTGATCCCTGTAAGTAGACAGGTGACACTATTGACAAGTGTTTCAAGCTCCATGGACATCCACCAGATTTTGGACAAAATAAGTTCTAAGGCAAGAGAATTGTTGCTATTGTATACGGAGATGACATATCAGCTGAAGAAGAAATTAGTGAGGCTGCACACATTTCTTTGGGACTGTACAATCAGTTTGTCCAGCATATGAGTCAAGAAGGATCGCAGAGCATCAATGTTTCTCAATCTGATGCACCTACAACTGCATCAATTGGTTAGAATACTCAGGCTACTACACCTTCAGCATATGTCGCGGGTACTTGTCTTCTGACATGTTATAATACAAAGTGGGTTATTGACACTTGAGCTACAGACCATATGTGTTCATCTCTTGAATTGTTTGACATATTTCACAAGTATACAAAGTTTCCTAATTAACACTATAACTGTTGCTGATGGGAAGCAAGTTACACTGGAGCATATTGGCACAGTAAAATTCCAAAATGGAATTCAATTGAAAAATGTGTTACATGTCCCTGGATTTCAATTCAATCTTATTTCTACACATATATAAGTTGTGTAGATACCCAGGGTGTGATATCAAGTTCATTCATGATACCTGTGTAATTCAGGATCCTACACATAATTTTTCCCTAGTTCTTGGTAAGCTAGATTCAAGCCTATATGCAGTGGATAATGCAGAAGGTTCAAATGGGCTGGTAACATTTGTTTAGCAAGTTCTGATGAAGCTAAGATTTGGCATTTAAGGTTAGGACACATGCCATTCAATATATTACATCTTGTTAATGGTGTTTTTTCTTCTAAGAGTAGTTTTGATAGCATTTATCAAGTTTATCCTGAAGCTACACAAACTAGAGTTCCCTTTCCTAGTAGTGCTATTAAAACAACTAGCTAAACTGTTTTGATTTGCTAAATATTGATACTTGGGGACCATATAAGATAGCTACTCATGATGGTTACAGTTGGCTCTTGACTATTATTGATGATTTTTCAAGAAACACTTGGATTTTTCTTATGAAGAATAAATCTGATGCTGTGAAGACTGTTGAAAATTCTTATGCATTTGTTCTAAATAAGTTTTATGTTAGTATTAAATGCATACGATCAGATAATGCTAAAGAACTCTATGAAAGAGATATGTTAGTATTTTATCAATCACATTTCATTAAACATTAGAGAAGTTGTGCTAATACACCACAGCAGAATGGCCTGGTGTTGTGGAAAGGAAGCTCATGCATCTTTTAGAGACTGCCAGAGCTTTGTATTTTCAGTCTAAAGTGCCAGTATATCTTTGGGGAGAGTGTCTATAATGTGCTACACATTTAATCAATTGAATGCCTTTGAGTACTATTGGTTGTATGTCTCCTTTTGAGATATTGATAGGTGTCAAACCAAGTATTTACCATCTCAGAGTTTTTGGATGCATTTGTTATGTTTCTACTCTCATGAATAATAGAAGAAAGTTTGATCCCAGGGTACTGTCCTGCATTCTAATTTGGTATTCTACTGAACAGAAAGCCTGTAAGCTCTTTGATCTTGAAAATAAGAAGATTATTATCTCAAGAGATGTTGTCTTTCATGAAAAACATCTTCCCTTTCATCACTCTCAGCCTAACACATCTCCCCAACCTATTTTCTACCATCTCATCAGCTTTTTCATTGACAATACCTTTGAAATACCAGAACCTTTCATCCTTGAAGATGATCAAACTTTTGTTCCTATTTCTTCACAAACTCCTCAAACACAAATACCTAAGCCTCAAACACACATACCTGGACCTCAAACACATATCCCACCTCCCTAAATACAAATACCTAAGCCCCAAACACTAACCCACCTCCACCTAATTCTGATCCTCAACCTATCAGACAGTCTGACAGACCAACTAGAGCTCCATTTTGGATGACATATTGTGTTGGGAAAGTAGTTAATTCTCATCATTGGTGCAACATTTTTACATACAATGATGTTCCAGCTCCTCTTAGAGCTCTTATTTCACATGTGATTCAAGTTATAGATCCATCTAGTTACCTAGAAGCTTCATAGAATCCAGTCTGGTTGAAGCTATGAAGTTGATGCTTTAGTTTTTAATGGAACTTGGGAGCATGTGAAATTGCCTAGAGATAAGAAACCTATAGACTGCAAATGGGTGTTCAAAGTCAAATTAAAATTATATGGTTCGGTAGAAAGATTCAGGCCCAGACTGGTTGCTAAAGGTTATACATAGAGATATGGGATTGATTTTGAAGAAATATTCTCTCCAATTGTTAAAATGGCAATTGTACTTGCAGCAAGTAAACATAGGGTTTTGCACCAAATTAACATTAACAATGTTTTCCTTCATGGAACACTGACTGAAGAAGTTTATAAGAGGGTTTCAAAAGGCATCCCTAACCCAGACAATCTAGTTCACATGCTGAAAAGATCCCTATATGGTTTAAAGAAGGCCTCTAGACAGTGGTTTGCTAGGCTCAATGCTAAGTAGATGGTCAAAGGATTCTCACTATTAAAGAATGATTATTCACTCTTCATGAACAAATCTGCAAGTGACATCTCCATTTCTGCAGTTTATGTTGATGATATCATTCTAACTCGAGATAATGTGGCTGTAATTCAGGATCTTAAGGCTCATTTGCACAATGTTTTCAATATCAAGGACTTGGGTGAACTCCATTTCTTCCTTGGAATAGAAGTTTGTCATGTTTCTCAGGGCATTATTTTGTCCCAGAAGAAGTTTACTAAGGAACTGTTACAAGAATGTCTCATGGATGTGTATAAACAAGCTCAAACAGCACTTCCTGCACATATTAAGCTGGTTAATGATGCAGGTGATTTCTACTCAGATCCTACTCATTACAGGTGCCTTGTTGGGAAATTGGATTTCCTCACTCACACAAGGCCTTATCTTTCCTTTGCTATTCAGACCTTGAGTCAATTCTTACAACAACCAAGGCTGCATCATTATCATGCTCTTCAGCAAGTTATGAGATACATTATTGATATAGTTTGTCAAGGTGGTCATTTGCAGGCTTTAGACAGCTGACTCTACAGGCTTATCTAAATTCTAATTTGGGTGCCTGCCCTAACACTAGAAGATCAATTACTGGTTACATCACGCTGTTAGGAAAGTAATTTATTTCTTAGATGTCCAAGAAGCAAGGGATTATTTCTAAGTCTTCCTTTGTGGCTGAATACAGGGCTGCAGCATCTTCTGAAATAACTTGGTTGGTCAGATTATCGCAGGAACTTGGTGTCACCAATCTCAAGCCCGTGAGACTTAATTGTGATAATCAGGCTGCTGCAATACATATTGGCAAAAACCCTGTGTTTCATGAAAAGACCAAACATATTGAGCTTGATTATCATTTCACCAGGGAAAAAGTCATGGAAGGCTTGTTAGAGCATCATTTTGTTCCTAGTTCAGAGCAGTTAGCAGACCTGTTCACTAAGCCTTTATGCTTTCCTCAGCATGGTGATCTCAGTTCCAAGCTAGGAATGATTAATTCTCAATCAATGTCTAGCTTGAGGGGGAGGCATTGTAGGTAGTACTCTTGCAAGACCCAACAACATCAGCATTAGTGCATTGGCAGCATACGACCTATCTGTGTTAGTAGAGGATGATAAGCTGGAAGCTCAAGAGAACTTTAATTTCTGGAAACAAGTCATAACTACCTGGTCTGACGTGGCAAGAGTTTGTTACATCTTTGATGGTGTGGCTAGAGTTTGTTAGAAGGAATCTTTGTAATGATAGAATACAAATTCTGTATTTTCTCTTAGGTTTAATTATAATCTGTAATCACAAGTTTAGTGCGATAAACACATTTTCTCTCTTTATTTTCTTTAATTTTCCTTTCATATATTCTTTGTATTTTCTTCATGTAATTGAAACATTTGATGAAGTACATGAAGTTTTCATTAGTTCATTACTGTTTCATTGAAGCATTTTCTTTAGTTTTATCATCTACCAAGTTATTATTCTGTTTTTCCATAATTACATTGTTTTTTTTCATAAGACTAGTTTTTATTTTGGCAAGGGCAGAATTTGGTGATACATTTCACATGTAAAGAATTCTCATTAATGAAATGTCATAGCTTAGAAAATCTAGAGAAAAAAGTCCAAGGTGAAAAAAAGTAAACAAAATCACACAAACATGAAATTAGACATGACTCCTAAGAGCAACCACACGTCAACACATAGGCAAACATTTCAAATCCAAGCCAAGACTTAAATAGAGGCGAAACAAAATTCTAGCTGAACTCGAAAGTAGCTAACAAAGTAAGGAGTACATTCATTCATTAATGTTTCACGTTTTAATGAATATAGCTAGTTGGTGAGTTATTTGCACAAGATGTTCATCAATCAAACATTATTAGGCTCTACTAGAATTGTTCGTGAACACTTTTTAGATTGAAAGCTAACTACTACTCCGTAATTAATAGCTAGGACCGTTCGAACTCCACGACTAATGAACACCACCCATTCCACAAGTTAACTAGTACTCCCTATTTAGATGCACGGTTCTAATTGCCTATTTCGGTTGTTTTTTTTGGGTAAAGAGACTTTAAAATAGATTCAAAATGGGTCTAATATCAATATATAATAATTAAATAAATAATTTTTATACTACGTATCACTTACTAACTTGAGGCAAAAAAAAAAATTTTGCACTTGTGTTACGGTCTGAGTGATTCACCACCGAATCGTGCGGTGCGCTCTCGTCTATTGGCGACAAGGGCGCAAGCCTAAAACAAAGGAGGTTCGTGAGCACACAGCAACACGGACCTAAGGTGTCTCAACAGGGCACGCGATGACAACGAGTGCGGAGTCGGGCTTGTGACGGCCGATACTTCGAAGCGGGCACAAGCGAAACCGACGAAATGAGGACGTCTCTGGGGTCTCTTGGTTTGGTGGGGGATGCTTTAAAACAAGGAAAGCACAATATCTATAAAGGCTTAAACAACACACAAATCTTAAAGCAATAGCAACGGGGTAGAGAGCTTTGATTGAATAACCATTCGCTCCCTAAAGAGCTTTATATTGCATTAGTAGAGAATTACAAGTGAACGTTGACATGACAGTAACACAATAATTCTCCCTAGAGCCTAGAAAGTAAAAAGAAAGACTAAAGAGACATTACATAAGGGAAAATACAAGGAAAATAAAGTAGAATACACAGTAAAGAGGTTGGTTTCTAACATCCTTCCCCACTTAAGCCGTCGACATACTCGTCGACTTACAAAATATACACTAAGATCCTAGCAGCTTCAGTCTTTTGTTGTAGGGGTGGCTCTTGTCCTGGTTCTGATGTTGGCGCGGTTGCTGTCATCGGGATCTGGATGGTAGGGTTTGAGACGACTAACGTGGAAGACGGGGTGAATCCTCATCCACGCAGGCGGTTCTACCTTGTATGCGTTCTTCCCAATCCGTTTGGTGATGCGGATAGGGCCTTCGTATTTCCGAATTAGACGACGATCTCTTCCTCTGAGAAATTTCAGCTGTTCTGGTTAGACCTTCACCATCACCATGTCCCCAATTGCAAAATCTACTGGCCTTCTGTTTTGATCAGCCCATCTTTTCATCCGGCGCGATGCTCGCTCTAGGTAGGCTTTTGAAATGTCAGTATTTTGCTTCCACTCTCTTGTAAAATCTCGAGCCTAAGCACTCCTACCGCCCTCCCAGTCAGCCACTATGTGCGGGAGGAGAGGTTGTTGACCCGTGACCAGCTCAAAGGGGCTTTTGTTGGAAGAAGAACTCCTTTGAGCATTGAAGCAAAGTTGTGCTACGTCCAAAAGTCTCACCCAATCTTTCTGGTTAGCGCTCACAAAGTGACGCAAGTATTCTTCAAGAAGCCCATTGGATCTCTATGTCTGCCCATCAGATTGAGGGTGGTGGCTTGACGACATGTTGAGATCAGACCCCATCATTTGGAATAGCTCAGACTAGAATATGCTCGTGAATCTGGTATCCCTGTCTCTCACTATGCTCTTTCGCAATGCCCAGTACTTCACAATATGTTTAAAGAAGAGCGATGTCGTTTCTTCCGTTCCACAAGCCTTTTGCATGGGTACGAACGTTACATATTTGGAGAACCTGTCTATCACCACCATGATAGAAGAGAACCGGTCCACCTTTGGGAGGCCACTAATGAAGTCCATCGACACACTCTCCCAAGGTCGAGTGGGTACAGGGAGTGGTTCAAGGAGGCCCCCGAGCTTCTGTATGTCAACCTTGTCTTGCTGGCACACAAGGCAAGTTTTGGTGTAGCTCATCACGTCTTCCTTCATTCCTGGCCAGTAGTACCCCATCGCGAGTAGACTGAGGGTTCTCTGCCAACATGGGTGTCTCGCCCACAGCGTATCATGGCATTCCTTCAACAACATTTTCCTCAATCCTCCTGCTTTAGGGATGAAAAGCTTTGTACCTTTGGTGAAAATGAGGCCATCGTCTAACCAAAAGTGTCTAGTCTTCCCTTCTTTAACATCCTTGTTATGGTTTTTGTCATCGGATCATCTGAGAGATAAGCACGAACTTGATCTCTAACAGAAGTGGCAATGCTGCTTGCAGTCATTGGCGCTAACTTGTACATCGCAGCAAGATCGGCCTGCCTACTCAGGGCATCGACTACTCTATTGCTGGATCCCGTTCTATAGGTCAACTCCACGTCAAAGTCGGCTAAGTCCTCTTGCCACCGAGCTTGTTTTCCTGTCAGCTTAGGTTGGGTGAGAAAGTGACTCGCCGCGGTGTTGTCCGTGCGGACGGTGAACTTTGATCCCAACAAGTAGTGCCTCCATCCTCTTAGGCAGTGCACAATGGCTAGTAGTTCCTTTTCTTGTGCCGCATACCTCCTCTCAGCATTATTCAGCTTCCTGCTTTTGAAAACAATGGGATGCCCTTCTTGGAGGAGCACTCCTCCTAAAGCAAAATCTAAAGCATCCGTCTGGACCACAAATGGTTTGGTGATGTCTTGAAGGGCAAGGACCGGCTCCTTCACCACTGCTTCTTTCAACTTCTGGAAAGCTTCCTTCTGGGGCCCTAACCATTCCCAACGACTCTCTTTCCTCAATAGGTCGGTGAGGGGACTTGCGATCTCCGAGTATCCCTTAATAAATCTTCTATAATAGTACGCCAGTCCTAGAAAGGATCGCAACTCAGAGGGGTTCTTAGGATCCTGCCAATAGCGAACAACACATATCTTTTTTGGGTCCATCCTCAATCGACCCTTCCCCACAAAGTGTCCAAGAAATCCAACTTCTTCCTGCGCAAAGGCACACTTTTCTCGTTTCACAAACAGGTGATGTTCTCTCAACTTCTCGAAGACTAATCTTAGGTGCTCAAGGTGCTCTTCCAAAGTCTTGATGTAGACAACAATGTCATCGAGGTACACGACCACAAATTTGTTTAAGTATTATCGGATACTTGGTTCATCAGAGTACAGAATGTAGCAGGTGCATTCGTCAAGCCGAAGGGCATGACTAACCATTTGTATGCCCCGTATCTTGTCACACAAGCAGTTTTTGGTTCATCTCCTTCGGCAATGCGAACTTGGTGGTAGACAAACTTCAAGTCTAGCTTTGTAAAGTACACTGCATCCTCTAACTAATCGAACAAATCCGCCACCAAAGGGATAGGGTAGTGATTGCGCACCGTAACCTTATTCAATGCTCGGTAGTCAATGCACAATCGAAGACTTCCATCTTGTTTCTTCTGAAAAAGCATAAGGGCCCCATAAGGAGCCTTTGATGGGAGGATGAAGCCAGCCTCAAGCAAATCCTCCAATTGTCTCCGGAGTTCGGCCAATTCCGGGGGAGCCATGTGATAAGGGCTTCGTGCTGAGGGTTTCGCCCCTGGAACCAGCTCGATCTCATGGTCCACTATCCTTCTAGATGGGAGAAATTTTGGTAGATCTTTTGGGAGGAGATCTTGGAACTCTGTTAGTAGCTCGGTAACTGCAGGCGGAAGGTCTCCACTTGTTTCATCTTCCTTAGTGGAAAGTGTTGCTAGGAACGTGGGCTCGTTCCTCTTCAACCCCTTCTCCAATCGCATTGCTGAAAGGAGGGGCCCCTTCGGCCCTTTTCCAGGATCGCAGGTTCTGAGGAGACATGGTTGCTGCCTGGGCACAAGAATAGATCTAACGTGTGGCATCGGGACTGCCTTACTAGAGTGTAAGAAGTCTATGCCGAGCACCAAGCTGAAGTCGTCCATTGGCGCAACGGTAAAGTCCACCTGCCCGCTCCAATCTCCTAGCTTTATTGTTACTTTCTTGGCAACGTCGTGGATCGGTTTGGAAACTGAATTCAGCGCTTTAATACTGCCTCCTTCTGGTAGCAGCTTCAACCCCAGTCTTTTTGCCTCCTTCTCTGAAATGAAGTTGTGGGTAGCACCTGTATCCACCATGGCTCGAGTTTCCTTTTCGTTTACCAACACATTCACATACATCAACTCAGAGTTTTTGGGTTGGATCTCAGAGACTTCTCTTCCCATAGCACACATCATGCGAAAGGCCCCCAGTCTTGAATGTTCTCCTTCACTAGGTTCTATCTCATCGGCTTCTTCACCCTCGGGGTTTTCTAAGGACATTGAGGACAGTTTCTTTTGGAGATTGTCAATTTCTCCCTTGTTTCGACATTCAAACCACTTGTGCGGTCCTCGGCAAAGGATACACGTTAATGGCCTGGTTGCCGAAGATGAACTAGGGGTGCTTTCTCTACTAGAGAAGGAAGAAGCTCCACTCTTCCGAGAGTATTTTCCCCCACTCCTGTTGTATCTATTGTTCGAGTTGTTGGAGCTCACTTGCGAATCATGTCCCGAGTTCCTAGGAGGATTCAGTGTCGGCCCACTATTCCCTTTCTTCAAATTTTTCCCTTTCTCTGAGGAGTAGTCCATCAGCCTTTCAGCTGTGGCGATGGCTCCCAATAAAGTATTAATCTTCTGGTGCCAAATTTCTCTTTGGGCCTACTTTTTCAGACCACACACAAAGTTGAATATGCGATCTTCCTCGGGCATATTGTGGATCTCCAACATGCACGCTGAAAACTCTTTGGCATACTCCCGGATGGAACCCTTATGCTGCAAAGCAGCGAGCTTGGTGCGAGCAACAAACTCGGTATTCTCGGGATGAAATTAGGCCATCAGTTCTTTCTTTAGATCCTCCCAAGTATCTACCGACGTCCTCTTAGCTTGGATGTCGGCGTACTTGGTGCGCCACCAAAGCTTTGCATCATCCACCAAATACATAGTGGCGGTATCAACTTTTAACTCATTCTCCAACTAACAGACCCGAAAGTATTGCTCCATGTCGAAAATGAAGTTATCAACTTATTTTGATTCTCTCGTGCCATTAAAGGTCCGGGGCTTTGGAGGTTTTATCTTGGCACATCCACTTCCCCCGAGCCCTCTTTGGGCACGCATTAAAGTTGCACATTTATCTTGTGCTTCATCAGCAACGCCTTGCACAAAGTTAAGTTGCTCCGTTAGCCCATCCACGGTTGCTGCAAGCCTCTCCATTTCTTCGGCTTGTTTTATCACAATATCCTCGAGTTTGGGCAACCTTTCTTCAAGCATAGCCCAATGTTCGGACTTGCCTTCAAGCCAAGAAAGTCTTTCCTCGAATGTGTATTCATGCATCTCTCCTTCGTCTGCCATCTCTACGGCAAACTTGGCTCTGATACCAAACTGTCACGGTCCGAGTGCTTCACCACCGGATCGTACGGCGTGCTCTCGTCTATTGGCGACAAGGGCGCAAGCCTAAAGCAAAGGAGGTTCGTGAGCACAGCAATACAGACCTAAGGTGTCTCAAGAGGGCACGCGATGACAATGAGTGCGGAGTTGGGGCTTGTGACGGCCGATACTTCGAAGCGGGCACAAGCGGAACAGACGAAATGAGGACGTCTCTAGGGTCTCTTGGTTTGGTGGGGGATGTTTTAAAACAAGGAAAGCACAATATCTATAAAGGCTTAAACAACACACAAGTCTTAAAGCAATAGCAACAGGGTAGAGAGCTTTGATTGAATAACCATTTGCTCCCTAAAGAGCTTTATATTGCATTAGTAGAGAATTACAAGTGAACGTTGACATGACAGTAACACAATAATTCTCCCTAGAGCCTAGAAAGTAAAAAGAAAGACTAAAGAGACATTACATAAGGGAAAATACAAGGAAAATAAACTAGAATACATAGTAAAGAGGTTGGATTCTAACAACTTGCCTGTATGCATTTTACCTCTATGACAAATAACTCATCTTTTGAACTACCACCCATGAAAAAAATAATAATAATAAAAAAAATCTCTTAGTCATCACCACCTTCTTCCAAATTCCCGTAAAGCACTTTAGTTCTTGCAAAGTTGGATTTGGAATATAATCTTGCTAACGTCTTCCTTCCAAAATAAAAAATTGCCTTATTATGGTGAAAAATCCGGCTTGTGGACCCACTTTTTTAATTTCCCTCTTCCACGATTTCCCTATGTTCTACTTCCACTAATTTCTTTATCTTCAACATTAAATCACATTTAATTTCTTCAATCTCCCAACGCTTAATGAAAAAAAATCCTAAGTTTTTTCCTTCCTTGTCTACATCTTCATAACTAAGCTAGTTACGTCTCTTTCCTTGCAAAGTACTCCGTGTTTCCCACCTTTTTGAATAAAAGTGGAAGTAGAACGACAAGTCGCCATCTTTGAAGTTGATGGATCCAGATGGTGGGTGTGGTGATGATATTAAGGTGGACACCAAAGGAAAAATATGTAAGCAATTTTAGTATTATTGAAACTTTAAATGTGTGGATTGATGGTGTTTTTGCAATTTTGGTAATTAAGTTCATTGTTGAATTGCGCTTTACCCTAGAAAAATCAACCTTGATTATTATATAATTCTTTTATTAAAACTTAATTCCAGTTTATTATAGTTTAATTAACAATGAGAATGTACTATTTGAGTAGTTAATTGGGGAAAATAGTGTAATTGGGGTATGGTAGCATACAATTGGGGATTCTTTATTCCAGGATTTAGTGTTTAAATATTGTGCTATGCTTTGGAATTACGGTCTCGTTACTTTATTATTGTTGTGTTATGCACATGTGAATATCAAAATTTAACCTTGACTAAATAAACTTAACCGGTATTACAAATAGATGAATATGACTTGCCCTTCTCTTGTAAATTGAACAGATTGGTGATGATGTTGAATATATGGATATTAAGGTTAGGACATGTGGTGGGTTTGTTCGGGAAAAAAGAAATTGGGGGGAGGGGAAGGGTTTACAGATTTCGGTATATAAGGCTAGATGGGAATTGAATATTGGAAGTATGATTGTAAGATTGATGACTTTTGAATCCGCTTTCTTAGAGAATCATGTATTTGGGGATTTGTGAACTTAGATTTGCATGTTCCGAGGTTGAGGAATTTGGTTTATTTATGTATAAAAATAATAATAAGGGAAAGCTTTCGTCAACTAGTAAAAAGAAAATTGTAAATGATTATAAAGTGAAAATCTTTTTAGAGACAAAGAATAGGTATGGGTATGTAGAACTCTTTTCTACTAGTCATGAAAGGTTTAGAAAAGTTAGTGAAGAATCCTTATTGTACAACCAACACAAGTAGTCAAAACAATGTTAAAAAGGCCACAAAAGTAAGAACAAATTCTAGGCCTGATCTTAACACTTATTATTAAACACCAGGAAGAGACAAACAATAAGCAAGGTGGAAATAAGGTTGGAGAGAGTCCTAATGCAAAGAGTGTACAAGAAAAGGAGAATAGCTTGTTGATAGAGAGTGTGAAAGAAAAAAAGAAGCAAGATGGGGAGGAAGGGCCATCTTCAAAGGTTGTAAAGGTAAACAAGCAAGAAAAATAAAAGGAAAAGAGAAAGAGAAAGAGAGACAAATCAAAAAGAAAGCTTGTGTTAGAAACAGACATTGGATCTAGTTCATTAATTTTTGATTCTGTTGACACAGATATTAATAACATTGTTACTAACACTGGCAAAATCATACATATTAGGGGAGGTGATGAATGCTTATCTTAAGGATGCACACAGTGATGATAGGGATGAGTATCATGAGGATGGGGTTGAGAGAAATGTGGTGAAGAAGCCAATGCTTAACAATGAACTTGTAAGCTGAGTAATAAATGATATAAGAGAATGAGTTCAGTTTTTATTTTGAAGATTTGCACTGCCTTAATTTAAAGGATTTATATGAGCAAGATAAAATTCATGGTTTCATGCTATAATTTCAACAAGTCTATCCAATTGTTGAAATAATACAATAAATTCACCCCCTTTATTTGTTTGTTTGTTTCAAGGGGCAATATATTAACTATGCATAATAAAGTTTATGGCAAAGGAACAATCCAAAGCCAACTTACAAAAGGCTCCTTTAATACTCAGGGTTGCTGGTGGGTGGGTGGATTACCACCCCCGTTGTGCATAGTAGTCAGATTAGTAGTAGCAGTATTAAACCTACAGTTAGAGTTATTATAGACTGAAGTTGGAGCCAAGTGCGGCTGCAAAATATTAACAAAAGTACTTAAATAGTTCCTACTGAAGACGTTGCTAGAATTGTGAGGTGAATCCAACATATCTCTTCTTGCTGCTTAAATTCACCTTCATTATCAACATTATGGAAAAATTCTGATCAATACATCATTAATATTGCTTTGTAAGTTCTCTTGCTTCTCAATTTCGCTCCCTAGCTTAGAAATTTGTCTCTATATAAACACGCTCTCTGTAAATTTTTCTCTAAACTAAATCAAAATTAGTAAATTGCAAACATGGAGACATTTAATTTTGGAAGATACTATAATGGAAAAGATCACACTCAACCCTTTTTAATTGAGTGAGTGAATTGTTTGATTTTTTTTTTTTAAAGAAAGCTAACTCTCTGTTTTCACACCGAGTGCTCCATGAGATGGGCATGGGCCACGCTGTCCCGCGGACGGCAAGGATCCGGCACGAAAAAAGACACGACACGGCAATAGCACGCCAGCGGCACGACACGGCACGATGACCGAGGAGTGGGTCGTGGACCGTGTCATGAACACGATTTTGAAATTCGGCACGGGCATGACATGAACCCGCGGCGCGGCACAGTACTTTAGCCCGCCAGCACGACACATGGCACGACCAAGCACGACATGTGGCATGACAGGCACGGCCCGGCCCGTGCAAAACGACTACTCATTCGCTGCTTGATATAAATTAATAATAAAAATAACATAAATAATAAAGAACTAAAATAATAAAAAGAATAATAATAATATAATAATAAAATAACATACACATAAATTAATAAAATAATTTAAATACAGTATCCATTTTTAAAGTTGTTCAACAATATTATATTGATATTTTTTAAATAAAAAAAATGGGCGACACGGTGACCGGCTTGACATGGCATGGCAGGCTCGTGAGTCTTGTCGTGCTGTGGGCTCGGGTGTGCAAAATGGTGGCCCATCACGGCACGGCCCACCAAAATGCAAGCACGACACGACATGATACGAGCCACCACTAGGCAAGGCGACACACGGCATGCAGTGGCCCAGCACGTCACGATGCCTACCACTAAGCATAGTGCACACAGCTATACCGTGTAGACCAAGGTCATAGCTAATTAGCTATTGTTTATTTTCCTAGGTTCCAATAATTTACAGGCTCTTTCATCAGCTCTTTGGCTATTTGCTTGCGATAGAGAAAGAGTGAACTGACCCGAGCCAGGTAGTTCGGCTAAGACGGGATGAAATGTTGTACTGTCCTATCAAACCAGGCGCGAGGTCAATGATTTAGCTCAAGAAGGGAATAATCGCCTTTATTCCTTGAGCCTTTTACCTGCTTTTGCTTCATCTGCAGATTGAATTTTCAGTATCAAATCAATAAGTCAGCTTTGGCTTTCTGCTAGGTGCATTTTATTCACTTAACTTTTCTAACTTAGCTTATTAGCACTAGTAAGACATAGTTAATTTTGATATGTGTACACATGATTGAATCTGATTAGCCTAACACTTATTTATTGAAAAGATGGATAATAGAAAATTACGTGAAGCTTAACTCCAGGCCTGAACCTGGGCGTAGGCGAGGAGTGCAGTGGCTTAGGGCCATGGCAATTAGGGGCTTAATATTTGTAAAATCACCAACAGTTTAACATGATATAAAACCTTTTTTACGCTAATATTTGTAATACTCAACTTTGTGGATAAACGTTTGAAAGCTATAGGAGAATTCTTGTTTGGATATAAGATCTTGGGTTCGATTGTGTCATTTGGTTGAATTCTTGTTTGTTTTTTTTTTTTTTTTTTAAATGTATCTTTAAATGCTTATGGTAATGTAATAATTTGTACAAATACTCTTAATGAATTTAGTTATTTTACAAAAAAATATATAAATATATAAATTTTTTCTTAAAATATTAAACATTACCATTAGTCTAGGTAATGTTTAATATTTTAAAGGGCAATTCGTATTATTTGTGTGAAGCAATAACTCATAAAAAAAATAAAAAATAAAGAAGAAGAGTGTATGAAACAATTCGTATCTATATATATGTCAAAGTGACGACAAAATTAAAAATTATAAAGGGCCATTATGTCTTGTTGGCCCTAAGGCCCAAAAAATGTCAGGAACGTGTCTGCTTAATACTTACTACGTATTATAAAAGCTTATGTCCTACTATATAATTTTTTTTTTTTTTTGAAAAACTGTATAATATAGTGGTAGCTTAAATCTTATTTCATACGAAAACTTTTAAATAATTTGTTGTAAGTTTCTGATAATATGTTACCTCCGTTAATTATTATTGGAACCCAATGTGTATCACTTGTGAGTGTCCCACATTGGAGAAAGAGGAGAGGTGGTTCCACTTTATAAAGTAGAGGAGTAACTTCTACTATTGCCAATTGGTTTTAGTATGGAAGTTCCAAAGCCTTGTTTGTGGACCAAACTCTCCTCCTCCTTATTCGGGTTGCCCAGGCCCATTTCACATTGTTTCGAAATTTAACATGGTATCAGAGCCCAGGTTTGTTGGGCCGTTTATAACTGGGTATTTGTCAAGCCACTGGTTAAGGGGTCTCTATTGGATGTTCATTCCCAAAGAGGATTTATATTGTACCACAAGTGAGGGGGAGTGTTGGAACCCAACGTGTATCACTTGTGGGTGTCCCACATTGGAGAAAGATGAGAGGTGGTTCCACTTTATAAGGTAGAGGAGTAACTCCTACTATTGCCAATTGGTTTTAGTATGGAAGCTCCAAAGCCTTGTTTGTGGACCAAACTCTCCTCCTCCTTATTCGGGTTGCCTAGACCCAAGTCACATTGTTTCGAAATTTAACAATTATTATGTGCAACTTTAGGATATTATTTGTGAGATATTAAAATTTTCAAAATTGCACGTAATAATTAACAATGGTTATATATGAAAATAGTTGTGGGATTTATATTGGATTCGTAAAAATGTGCAATTTGATAATAAAAAAAATAAAAATATAAAAAAAATAATAATAATAAAAAAACAATTTTCATAATAACTTTTGTTATTTATAGTCAATTATACATGTTGACGACGACTACAATACACTTGGTCATTGGGTAGGGTAATAATAAAAGGGTTGTGGTAAGATTTAGGGCCTGTTCATTTCAGCTTCATTTCTATTCAGTATAGTATATTTCAGTTCAGCTCCAATACCTCTTCAGATAAGTTCAATTCAGCTTATTTTAGTAAAAGTGAACAGGCCCTTATAGGGTTTTTATTGGACAA